CACCACCACCAACAAGAACAACAACAACAACAACAACAATAACAAGAACAAGCACACAAACCAATAGTAACAGCAATAGCAACAACAACCGCAACAGCACCAACTGTAGACCAACAAAGACGATGATAAAAAAAACAACCACAGCCACAACCACAACGACAACCACGACGACAACGACGACGACATATCACCAGCAACAGCAACAACAACAACCACCACCGGATTCATACAACGAACCACGTCTGAATCGAAGACTCCTCATTGTTCGCGGTGTCGCGTGTAAGAACTGGAAAGTCCCATCTGTGTGCGGGACATGTTTGGCCATGACACTGCGCATTACAACCAACTACGCATTTTGTCTAGAATATCGAATGCCTGCCAAGCCGGCTGCTAATCCTTGCTCAGCCACCTTCGACTTCAGCCGACACGAAGAAGTAGTGAACCCTAGGTGCATCGTGGATGATGTCGGGGATTCTTGAAGTCATGGTTAGGAACATCCCTCGATCAGGCTCGGTGGAAATCTGCAATACCGGCCATGCAAAAGAACGGATGGTCTTTGCCAGTATCTTCATGGGATTGCGAAGGCAACGAAGGCTGAGGAGCACTGCCGGGGCTTGCGACGGACGAAGCAAATGCAAAAACACTGCAAGATGCTTTGGGATGAGAGCCTTCTTCATCTGCGATGCAGCAACCGGGCCCGAGCGGTTCGCTGTCGCTGTACTTACCGGGGAATGATACGATGCATGGTTCGCCACCGTATGCCTGTTCAGGAAGGTCTGCTTCGAGACTTGTGGGACCTTCGAAAACATCGGAAACACTAGAACTCGTGCCGAAAACATCTAGATCATTCCGATATACTCGTAATAATTCATTCTCTCCACCGAAGACCACATATCATCATTCAGGTCATTGGGCCCGTGGTGTCGTACACGTTTTGTTTTGCCGCAAAGTTGAGCAGACTGTGGGATGCATCGCGTGATCTTTTCCACGTGTCCTGCAAGCTGTCAGCACATCAACATACATGCCACATGCTGCCACATGGTGAGATGATGAAAATGTCTGCTGGAACATGCTGGTGCCACCATCGTGTCTCAGGGCTTATATGTTCGTCCGCAACCATGGAACACGACGCATCAACTTTGTTTCTGACCTGGAATTCCGGTTCTTCGGTAGTGCAGTCGGGAAAGCATTTCCTTTCCCAGGCAATCCTCCCGAAAAGGGCGATGACACGTTCGGAATCCAGTTTCTATTCTTATGCGTGCTTTTTGTGCAAATGTGTTCAATCGCTAAATGTTGGCTCATTGTTGGATTCTCTATTTTACAAATTGTTCGCTACGTTTTCGATGTTTGCGAGTTCTGGCTCGCTATTGTTCCTCGCAACATCTGAATGTTCTCCGATTGCCTGGACTTGTGTTTCCGTTGTTGCTGGATGTTTTTTTGTTGCAACTTACTGCGTTTTTGTACTATTGTGTTTTTGAATGTTTTTTCATTGGTTACCGGTTCATTGTTTTCATTTCCCCTATTTTCTGTTTCTCGAATATTCAAACTGTTCAATGTTCCCGGCTTTTCCTGAGAATCCCAAGGTTTCCTATTTTTGATGCTGATTCTCCTTCTTTTGTTTTGCGCGTGTTCCTGTATTGCTTCTGTTCTGCATGCTTCTTCATGTTGCGGAAGCGATTGTTCTGTCGTTCTTGGTGCTTGTTCGGTCTGGAACGGTATATTGGATCCTCCACACGCTAGATTGGTTTCTGAAATGTATGATTCTTGCAGGTTTTGGCCATATCACCAGGTATTGACTGCCGGTTCACTGTTGCGCGTTTTGTTCTGTTCTGTAGTGAGTCAATTGCAAAAGAGATCGAGAACCACCTTCCGCTAGCGTTACAGGACCTTTCGGCCTCGGTTTTGGTGTGTGCCTCACAAAACGCTAAACCCTAAAACCAACTTCTCTTTCCTTGAAGCACCGAAGCCAGAGCCAATTCAGACAGGAATTCCCGCACCACGGCAACAGTGCGACTGGTTCCAAAAGCCGCATCGCAAAACCCTTAGCCGCCTTAGCCGTTCGACGTCGAGGCCTTCCGAGTTTATACTTGGAGGTTCATGGGTAGTCATAAATGAAGTTGTAAGTAAGGCAACTATAGTTATAACCCATATCAGGGGACTTAAAACCATACTTATAGGTACCCATGAGCCTCCAAGTAGGTCGAGCTTCATGTTTGTGCTACTTTGAGCAAAGCGCGTCCCCGGGCTCGGGTTTTGGATTCGCCGCAGCAGTAATGCAATGTTCCATCTCATTCCCGCAAAATCCCTATCGTTTGATCGTTCGATCGTTTTCTAATGTTTCAGATTTTCTGAATTTCAGATTTTTGTAATGCTTCCAAACGTTGGGCCCCGAACCCTGAAACCCCTGAAGAGAGACGTTTCGAAGGCACCCCATAGCCTATGGATTGAATTGCTCTTTTCGGTGGAAGTGGACTGCGTCAGTCTAGTCATGTATACATATATATATATATATATACATATATATATACATACATGCTGTATGTATATATATATATATGTACATATACACAGATATGTTACCACAATCTTTCGGAACGGAATATGTTATTGACTCTGCTGCGTCAGGCCCCTACAAAAACCTACAACATTCTGGGCTGACCCATTGCAGGCATTCCCCACAAGAACACATGCCCAAAAAAATTGGCCAAACTGGCACGTTAGTCCGCCCGGTACACCGTTAGTTCCTCGCATCCCTGTATTTAGTACAAGAGCCCACAGGTACCATAGGGGCCTTAAGAATTAGACTCGGGTTTTGGGGGTATAATATACTAGAGCTGCTATACTATATACTTATAATAGCCCCAAAATACAATTAGGTATTCATTTAGGCCCCTATATTACCTTGCCAGCCTGCTGCCAACAAATCATCTCCAAGGCATCATGTTCGAATAGCCAGACTTGACTTATCCTAGACACCAACAGTGACCGACATCCAGAAAAGCATGTTGCATTCCCTTCTCAAGCCCTACAAACCCTCTACGAATCTTATGAAACCACATCAGAACCGAGTAGCCTAAACCCTAAACCGTGACTTCAGCACCTCATCACAAGCCTGCACACCCTGCAGCGGTATTGCGCACTACTTGCACACAAGGGTTGCAGGTGACGGACTTGCAAACACCTAAACCTACACTGCACCCCAAGCCCTGAACCCCTCAGCACCAAAAGCTGATGACTCATACCATAGGCCCCATAAACCCTCAAAAAGCCTTTACAAACCCAAGAAAAACCCTATAGAACCCCTATAGAAACTATTGAAGACCCCAATAGACCCAGGAAAACCCGAAAGCCCCAAACCCGACAGCAGAACTGGCTCTTGTCCAAGGGGCAAAGGGATGCAAAAACCCTAATAACGGGGGCTTTAATAAGTAGACTAGGGTTTTGGGCTACATTTTAAGCATAGGACATACTACAGTCTATATTTTATACGGAACCAAGGGGAATATTTCTGGTAATAATACGCAATTACTCACGCTTCTATACTAAATCCTAAACTGGCTGCGGCACGGTGTGGCTCGGAGCATCGACGTCCAGGACGGCATCCACCTTCGCGGCTAGAGTTTAGGTTTCGGGTTTAGGGCTTTTTGGTCATGTGTTTCGGCTTGAAGTATCGGCTTAAGGGTTCCCACACACAGAGTTAAATAATCCTGAACCTTAAACCCTGAAAGCACTTATGTCTGTATTTCCTAAAGTCGGACCTGAAAAAAAAGGACTGAGGCATCCACGACGTAGTTGTCGAAGTCTTCGGAACGTACCAAGAAGGACTGCTTGAACCGAAGCACGGATTCCTGGGCGACTTGGGGCGGTGCGCCTACAACTAGCTGGCTCTACTTAGGGTAGCATCATGCCCAGGATTGGTGCGTGTTGGTATGTGTGTGTGTGTGTTGGTGTGTGTTGGTGTGTGTGTGTGTTGGGGTGTGTGTGTGTGTGTGTTGGTGTGTGTGTGTGTGTGTCTGTGCCCGTGTGTACGCGATCTCTGCGTGTGTGTGTGTGTGTGTCTATCTTTCTGTCTGTCTGTCTGTGTGTGTGTGTCTGTGTGTGCGTGTATCTCTGCAAATGCCGGCTGCAACCCGGGGATAGGGTTGAGGCAGTCACTCTACCCTAAACCCTAGACCCTGAACCCTAAACCCCTATAAACTCTAAACCCCAAAACCCTAACCCTAAACCCCAAATCCTAAACTCCTAAACTCCTGCCCTACACCCCAAAACCCGAAATCTAAATCTCTGCGGCCCGTCAACACGAGACCTTGAGCCCAGCCAGGGCTTGAGTTCGGCATGCTAGGGGAGGTGGGGGCTTCTGACTTAGGGCTTCAGGGCTTTAGGGTTTAGGGTTTTAGGTTTTAGGGCTTAGGGCTTTAGGGCTTTAGGGTTTTAGGGCTTAGGGTTTTAGGGTTTAGGGCTTTAGGGTTTTAGGGTTTAGGGTTTAGGTTCTGCAAAGGGGCTGCGGGACTGCGGTAAACGTAGGGGCCTTAAGAATTAGAATAAGATTTTTGGGGGTATATTTTATGTATAATTAGAAGAAGGAGCCCAAAAAACAGTGTGGTATATTTTAGTACAATATAGTTTTAATAAGGAACGCAACAAAGGTATCGGTTGATTTAGGCCCCTATATTAACCACTGGGAACGTACGATCTCGCTTCTGGGGAAAGGGTTGCAATGCAGCCAAGAGCGCAAATCCCTTGGCGCCAAACATCTCTACGGAGTCCTTCCTCGAAAGCAGCGCGGAGTGAGCCTGCCAACGCGGCATCATGCAGACCTTCGAGCAATAAACCCTCCCAAGGTTTAGAGTTTAGGGTTTAGGGCGAATCCTATAAACCCCAAACCCTAAACCCCAAGCCGTCACTACCCCAGAGCCCTAACCCTAAGGGTCCAAGTACCTAATAATCATATACTCTCCCAAACAGTGATCGACCTACACAACTACTATCCGTAACCCAAGTACATGATTATTGGGTCCTGTGGGCAATTGGGGTAAGCTTTCACTACCTGCCTCGAAGTCACCCACGACGTCTGCCCGCAGCCACTGCAAAGCCACCCCAAGCCTTGCTCTGCGTCCGTTCGTTGTTACAGAGGGTTTAGGGTTGAGGGTTTATAGGGGTTTAGGGTTTAGGGTAACCGTACTACTACCACATCATTGCTTTCTACTTTTGTATTCTGCCTGTGTTATTCACATATGCTTACTGTTCAGACTAGTTCACCATTGTTATTACTAGGACTGTTGAGTTTATGTCTGTTCTTATAATGCCGGTGTTGGGTTTTTTGAGTGAGGGGAGGTGCTTTGGCCTGGTCGCTGCTCATGTTAACTGTATCTTAGGCGGGTTATCTGAAACCTAAACCCTATAATCCCTGCACCCTTAAGCCCTGATCCTAAAAACCCAAACTGAAGCTGAAACTGCATTTCAAAGGACCACCTCTTCTGTTGGGGGAGGTTTCCGAGGTGCTGGGCTTAGGGGTTCTGGGTATAGGTATGTGCCCCTGAAGTAGCCATCAGGTATGTCTCTTTCTGGCTACGGTCTCCTTTATTTTAATATGAAGAAGTGTATTTCAAAAGGTCTTTGAGAGCAACCCATGAACCTGGATGAAAGCCTTCAATAAAAAAAACAACCGTGCAAAATGATTTGTAGGACCCTGAAAAGCCCTGCAAAAGACCTGCAAAAGAACTAAACAGCCCCTTTTGAGCCCGTTATCAACCCCTATAAAGCCACTATAAAACCTTGCCCACCGTTACAAGATCTATTCCTGTAAGACCCGGGCCCCGGGGTCCTTTGGTTGTTAGGGGGTAGGGGTATTGGGGTTTAGGGCTTAGGGTTTGGGGGATCAGGGTTTAGGGTTTAGGGATGGGGGTTTGGGGTTTAGGGTTTGAGGGATCAGGGCTTCGGGCTTAGAGGGTTTAGGGCTTGTTGGGGGTCTATGGTCTGCATGGTTCTAGGGCTCAGTGTCTAGGATTTCGAGTTTGCGGTGTGTTTTTTTGGGGGGAGGGTTCAGAGTTTTCGGGCATCCGTTGTCAGTGCTTTTGCAGCTTCCGAGTACACGCACGCAAGACAACCATTGATGTGTAGTGAAAAGCATTCATTCAGGGTTTACTGACGCTTAAATAACATTACTCTGAGCACTAAGACACGACTCGAAGCAAATACCGGAAACGAGCTTTCCAGAACAGACTTACAACTCCTTAAACAGACTCATAATTGCAAGTACTTACAGTCACAGTGCCTCACCTGAAATCCACAGACCTCAAACTCAACACTCTCAACCTCGGACTCTCAACCATGTTCCCAAAAACTCTCCGAAGCAGTGTTGGAATCACAAGAAGATGCTTTTCTGAAATCCAATCCTTTTGGGGGATTTTGCGTTCTGGGCCTCACTCAGTCTTATAGGGCCATGTAGAGTTTTATGCTTAGTGCCGGCTTTCGTTTTAGTTGTGCGCTGTGCGTTCCCGGCTCAAACAAGCGACCAAAGCCTTTCCCTTCCAAGACCGGGCGAGGTACCGTTAAGGGGGGCCGGGTGCGGTAGCGCAGCCACATCCTGGGCTCAGGGCCTCTGGCCGAAATCCCAAGCCCCTAAACCACAAACTCATACCTCTAAACCCTAAACCTAAACCCGAGACCCTAAACCTAAACCCTAAACGGCTAGATGCTTTCTGAAGTCCAACTAGCCCAGGCCCTGAAGCCGAAACGCCACCAATTTTTCCTGGAAAGGGACAGTTTTGCCGTCGGGGGCAGCCCCGTCAATGCCAGAATGTCGGTCGCGTGCCAAGCCTCTGCAGTTTGGGCTATGGATAAGACTTGGGCCATAGGGTTTTGGAGGCAGAGCTCTAAACCCTACGATATAGAGCCTAAACCACATAGACATGTATGTATACATAAAATAAATAAATAAAAAATGAATAGATAAATAAATAAATACAAATATATATATATATATATATACACACACACATATGTATGGAACCTAAGCCTGCAAACCTAGCCTCTTAGCTTTTGCGGTCTGCGGCTTCACGCACTAGGGCTTCGAGCCTTGGAGCAACCTTCGCTGAACCCCCGAAACCCAAAACGCCGCCAAAGGGCCGAGGCATGGTACTGTAGGGGCCTAAATCATAACAAATAGTTTTTTGTTTTTTTTTGGGGGTGGTCCTTAGTATAAAAACAGCAAAATGGGCCCCAAAACCCTATTCTAATTACTCAGGCCCCTAGATTAATAGGAGTTTGCTGTTGAAAGTGTGATCCGCTATGGAAATTCGAGGACATGTCTCATGTTATGGTGAGGAGACCCAAAGAGCTTAATATCCTTTACAACAAGGAATATTCGAGCCCCAAAAAAGCACCTAAGCAAAACTTAGGATAGGGATCTCCCATATACATCCCCTTATAATGAAGCCCAATAAGGTAGGGATATCCGTATAACATGCTAATGATTATGTCCTTTGTGGGTTCCTAAAATATAGCTTAGACCATATGATATGAAGCCCCTTGTTGTTTAAGGTATATTCAGTATATTCCTTCATTCATGGGTCTGGAGCTCTCTCTAAGGATCGCTCGTTGCTTCAAAGGAAACCACGTCGACATGTGCTGCAAACACGTCTTCTTAGAAAGGACCACAACTTACAACAGGCCTGGTGCGCCCTAAACCCACCCTAAACGTCGCTTTTCGTTGAAGATCCCATAGTTGAGCTCGCAGCGGTTTGTGGTTTCGGACTTTCAAACTTTTTGCGGTGCTAAGCGGGCAGCAAAACTAACCAGTCTAGGTGCTCTACCGAGCCAGGAATGGCTTCAAATTGAAATTTCAAACCGCCTGGGTTGCCTTCTAGCAGGACCTCCAAAAGCATTTAAGCTCTTCACAATCGGTTGTCGGCAAGGGTAGCTGTGGAGCAGGTAAAGGACAATCAGCTCAACCTGGTTCCTTGAAAACGAGCTTACTTCCAGTAGCTTTACAGAGATGTGAAGCTTCGGTTTTGCATGAACTTAAAAAGGTTTTGTTCTCTCAAGTGTCAAAACACTCAACTTTAGACACCATCATAAGGACAACATGCTGTGTACTATGCCAGTTGACTCTAGGTTATGCTCACTGGAGCCTGGCTCAGCCGGCTAAGCTCCTTCACGAGGGTTTAGGGCTTAGGGTTTAAGGACCAAGTCTTCTTACCCGGACCGGGATCTTAAAGCCAATTGCGATATACACGCCTGAGCGAATCGACCAGGAGTTTGTGTTGGCTCTACATTCTGGAACACTCAACCTCAGACGCCCATATTAATGTAGGGGCCTTTATAAATAATTAGAATAGGGTTTTGGTGTCTACTATACTATAAATATGATAAGGAGCCCCCAAAGCCCTATTCTAATCATTACCCTAAGGCTCATGGACTCCCACAGTGAAAGCCCAAACCTTAGCCTCCAAAGCCCAAACCTTCGCCTAGAAAGCCCATAACAGCAATAAGAGCCTTAGGGTGAACCTCCAACTAGGTTTAGGGTCTACTTGGAGGTTCATGGGTAGTTAAGCCCCCTAAGGTGGGTTATAATTGTAGTTACCCTACTTATAACCCTACTATTCCCCAGCGGCTTCTGGCCTCGCAGCTATTCTCTCCTGGAGCATCAGAGGTGGCCTCCCAATCTTCCCAGCTTACAGGCTTTCAGCGCAAGATTCTTGAAACCAGGATCAGGGTTTAGGGTTTAAGATTTAGGGTTCAGGGTTCAGGGTTTAGGGTTTAGGGTTTAGGGTTCCTGCTCATTTTTCGTGATTTCAATCGCAAGACTCATCGTTAGCCTTAAGAAATAACAGAGGAAGAATGATCACGGGCATTGGGACACTGCTGGTGGGTCATCTCCTATTGGGGCTAAGGGCGTGAGACACGCCGTGTGCCATGCGGGTTTGGGCTGTGCCAGCGATCATGTCCCCCTCGGTTTACCGCCTTCATGAAATCATCACCACGGTCGTTTTCGTCGTCTTCGTCGCCACCATCGCCGTCATCATCGTCATCGTCATCATCATCACCATCATCATCATCATCATCATCATGAATCATCATTATCATCGTCATCATCACCGTCGAAATGTGACTATCCGAATCATGGTACGACATCCCAATCGAACTGGTCATCATCATGATCGTCCTCACCATCAACACAACAGCATCACTGTTATCTACAAAGGCTCACATCCTCGTCTTCGTCACCATCACCAGCACCGTCACAATCATCATCATCATCATCATCATCATCGTCATCATCAGCATCATTATCATCGTCATCATCAGCATCATCATCATCATCAGCAGCACCATCATCATCAGCAGCATCAGCATCATCATCGTCATCATCATCAGCATCATCATCATAAAACGTCAACATCATCAGCGACAAGATCATCGAAGCAGCAACACGACGACATCATTCCCCCTTCTCTCACAACCTCTTCCTCCCAGCCAGAGAACACCAAAAGCAGGTATAAGCTACATCAAACAACTTCATGCTACACATCAGACAAGCTTGGGAATAACCATACAGTATCAAGAAAGCAGCCACACCAACAAACAAACAGAAACAAACAACACCAGACACCTACACACCTACACACAGACGCACCGACGCACCGACACACCGACACACCGACACACCTACACCTACCTACCTACCTACCTACCTACCTACCTACCTACCTACCTACCTACCTACCTACCTACCTATACATGCGCTGATGCATGCATGCTTACTTGCATGCAAGCATATGTGAGTAT